AGCCCTCTCGTCGGCCGCTCTTGCTGTGACTTCGGCCGCTCTGGCCCTCTTGTTGGCCGCTCTTGCCGCGACTTCGGCTGCTCCGGCCCTCTCGTCGGCTGCTCTTGCCACAACTTCAGCTGCTCCAGCCCTCTCGTCAGCCGCTCTGGCCCTCTCGTCCGCCGCTCTTGCCGCGACTTCGGCTGCTCCGGCCCGCTCATTGATGGAATCTTCAAACCTCTGATGTTGAATGTCAGATAGGCGCAGCTTCTCAGTAAGGTATGGCACGCACCTTCCGTGCAGAAGCTGCCTCGTGTGCTCTAGTTTTCCACTTGCCTTTTGCTGCTTCTGCCTTTACCTGCTAAATGCTTAGTATTTGCGAGTAGAACTTGATGCAAAGAGATGGAAAACGACTTGCCTTGGCGCTCTTGACCATGTTGTGCTCCTCTGTTACATTCCTGAACAGATCGAAGTTTCTTTTTACCCCCTTGGTGCTCTGCATGGGGAGGTGTGGACCAACAGCGCTCCAGCCATCCTTGTTGAATCCAACTAAATCAACCGTTTCTGGCAGGTCATTGTGCACGATGTGCCAGGATTTAAACTCTTCCTCTTGTGCGTTGGGCAATGCCTCGAAGTACTGACGTCCGTCCATCCGATCTTCTTGCCGCTACGCACATCCAACTCCAAAGCCTCCCGTACGGGAAAAAACAACAAAAACTTTGCTTGGAATGCAACAGGAATGTTGGCTGTTTGGCGAAGTGCATGTCCCGCACACGTGGTCGCCTGGTGGCTCCGTGTTGACAGATCAGCGTGACCACGCCCTTTGGCATTGTCTGCCAGCATGCTGGTGTGTCATGCGTGCGTGGCGACCGCAGCGAGGAAAGAGATCAACGCTCGTGCCCGCTGGTGAATGAAACGTACGGATGAACGCCAAGCTACTGGAGACGCACAAGGAGGCCGAAATTCACGGACTCGCCTTGCTCAGGGCTACGGCATCTCGAGCGTTCGCCACGAAGCGCCACGCCACAAGCTCATCGCCCTCACAAGGAACTGCAACCGCTGGGGCAGTGGTCCGCTCCTAGATCTGATACTGCAGTGGCCTGTCAACGTTAGCAGTTGCCCTCGCTTTGCGTGATCGCGCTTTTATTCTGCCCGATTGTGGTGGGGCTCCACAGCACTGAACCCGCCCTGGTGGTGGGCGTTGGTACACTGCCAGGATGGTAGATGGGCGAAAGCTGGTTTTGGCCACCAAGACAGGCGATTCCACCTTGTCCCGCCCAAAAAGGTGACCCAGAGACGAACCAGCTCGCCTTGGTGGGCAAAAGATGGAACATTCCATCACTCCCGTCCACCTCGGGTGCACCTAGGTGGACAGAAGACGGAACGTGCCATCTTCAAGTCCACCTCGGGTGCACCTAGGTGGACAGAAGATCGAACACACCATCTTCAAGTCCACCTTGGGAACACCTCAAGGTGGGAACAAGAGAGAAGCACATCGCAAGGTGGACATGACCACAACAACCATGCCTTCGAGGTGGGAAGAAGGTGATTTTGTTGGTGTCGCATATATTCAATACACACATTACAGCAAAGTGTTGTGGTCCGCCCTCTAGCCTGGCTGTTGTTCGCCGTCCGCCGTCCGCCGTAGCTGCTGCCGTACATCGCCGTCCGCCGTCCGCCGTCCGCCGTCCACCGTCCGCCGTCCCCGCTCAATCACTCTGCACAACGCGGAGTTAGTGAATACGCATGTACTGTGGCGTTGGCGTACTAGGCCTGTAGGCGATGTAGATCTTGATGTTCCGGCGGGCCATCCAGACTTGCTCCATATCGAACTTGAGCGCAATGGTTCCATTCGCCATGGGGTCCCACTCTAAGTCGTCCGCGCCCGTTACGGATCTGATCGCAGCCTCTAGGGCTGCAGGCGGAGGAACAGCCCAGGCGGGCAGATTGCTAATCCGCTGGCGGAGCTTGTCCCCGTCGACCACCTTCAGGTCTGCCGGGTGACGCGTGATGCCGTTCCAAGGAAGCCCAGAGCTTGTGAGCGAGACTAACCATTCGCGATTTACTACAATTGCAGAGGAACTGTGAGCGATGAATTCAACGAGATATGAAGCAAAGAAAGATGTACCGTCGTTGACGTGGGCAGGGGCAGGTGATTGCTGGGCGTGTTCGAGTGCGCGTTTGGTCAGCACCCACTTCTGCCCGCTCTTCCTAGGGGCCGAGTGCTCGCAGACCGAGTCAATCTCGGCCTCGGTCGGCTTGTCTGGATCTTGGCGAGGCTGCTGGGCGCCGGGCTGCGTATTGGCCAGGCGCGTGAGTTGCTTTGCAGCACTCGCGGCCTGGTCATCCCCTTGAGTCGACCGCTCCTGGGTCGATGCAGACGTAGTTTGTTGTTTTTTCGTACAAAGAACAGCGTCGGCCGGAGGCTGGGGTCGTGTCGTGGTCTCAGCGTCGACCAACGAATCACACTTGCGCTTACACAACAGTGGCGAGCCCTCTGGTGATGCTAGCCATGCCGCCAGTTGGCTGCAAAGTGAAGATTCCTGGTCCTCTGAATCCTCATGAGAGCTGCTGGAGGCCGACTTGGTGCATGTCTTCTTTGGCACCACATTGTATGTGCTTGGACCTGTACGCTTAACTCCGCAGGAGTTCTTCATAACAACCTGCAGAGTGGACTAAACGTTTATGTCAATAAAGCATTCAATTGGAGGAAAGAAATAGTGAAATAACATACCAGTGAACTTGTGTTGCCACAAGCAACTCTTGCTGGCGGCAATGCAACGTCCTCTGGGTGAGTGTCTGGTTGGCTGGCTTCCTCGCCGTCGCCGTCGCCGTCGTCACTGTCGTCATCGTTGTACTTGTTATTGATATTGTTGTTGTTGTCCTTGTTGCTGTTGTTGTCATCTTCGCTATGTCACACCAGTTGAAATCCACCTGCAACTTCAAATGTTAGTAAATATGTAAGAGGAATGATGATATGGAAAATACCTTGATACCATTGAATAAACTTGTTGTATCTTGCTTCTTGTCTTCGCTGTCCCATTCGCCATCCTGTTCACCGTCCCATTCACCATCCCATTCACCATCCCATTCGCCATCCCATTCGCCGTCCCATTCGCTGTCCTGTTCGCCATCCTGTTCACTGTCCCATTCTTTGAACTCTTTCTTCTTTGCCTTTTTCTTTGCAGCCTGCAAGAAAAGATGAGAACAAAGTTGTGTGCATTATGCACTAAGTGTTTGTGTGCATTATGCACTAATGTACCACATGTGCCTGGGGTGAGTTGACATACTTAAAGAGACTCACCACTTTGCTTCCAGGCTTGGCCAAGCACACTTTGGCCAGGTTCACATCCCTCCACCATGCGACCAATTGCTTCAAATGGCTGGGCTTGGTGGGAGGACACAAGGGGTCCTCAAACACCCACTCATTCGCCATTCTGAAGGCCGTTTGAATGAGTGTATCCCTGAATTGTTTATCAACTGCACATGCAGGAAGTCAGTAAATAAATGGGTTAAAGCACATGAAAGGTCATGTACCTGCGACTTTCGCCTTGAACTCAGCTGGCTTCTTCACTGGCTTCAGCTTTTCAAATGCATGTGCAAGCAGCAACTTCAGCGACTTGGTGACTGGCTTCCATCACTTGCACACATGAAGAGAAAACAGCTCAGTAACTACAACTAAAACCAAACACTACTAACAACCATACCACTGGAACAAAGCTCTTGCTGATCCAATTCTTCACACTGGCCAATAGCTTCACTTTTTCCTTCTCCTCAACCCACTTGATGAATTCAAGTCATAGCTTGTTGCCATCGCCTTGCTCAACCTTCACAATGTCAAAGTAGATGTGGGCAACTTCAACTTTCACCACATCAGCAACATCTTCCTGCTCCATACTGTGCTGCAAATTGACCTTAGTGATCAGGTTGATTAGCAGCTGACAGGTCTCCTCTTGGCCCTTCCACAGCTTGTCCAGGCCTGTCACCAAGGCCTTGGAAAAAGCAAGAAACTCTGTTGTGTGGAATGTGTAAATCTTTGTGATTGATTATGAAAACAATAACTGGAAAAAACAATGAAAGCAAACCTTCATTGGTGACCATGGATGGGGCCCTTGCTGTAGCTGTTGTGTTGGTTGATTGATTTTCCACAAGTGAGATTAAATAAAGTAAAATTAGAAATCATGTAGAAGGAATTTCTACTATGTTGAGTAAATGAAAGTGAAATGCACCTCCATTCCTCAGATTGGACAATGATCCCTTTGCTGAACCCTGTACATTGCCTGATTAGTGAAACAGAAAATTAACATTAGCAAAATTAGAAATCACATAGAAGGAATTTCTACTACATCAAGTAAATGAAAGCAAAACGCACCTCCATTCCTCAGATTGGACAATGATCCCTTTGCTGAACCCCATACATTGCCTGATTAGCGAAACAGAAAATTAATATTAGAAATCAAACAGTTGTTTGAGTGAGATTGGGTACCAAAAGCATTCTTCTTCATGATCATGGGTAAGTGGTCAGCAGTGAAGATGTACTGGCCAGGAGGAAGGAGGAGGAAGACTTGTGCTGCCACTACTCCACCAATTGGGTGGGAGTGGAATACTGATCTTGTCAACGAGCCGCGGCTGGCCTTTATGCTGTCAACCCTGGTTATTTCCCAGTTTTAAGTACCTTTTTTCTTGGCTTGCATACCGCGGAACCAACATCCGGAATAACTGCAATTTCTGCGGACTTCTTTTTATTTTGAAAAAAAATACACTTCAGAAATAAAAAGAAGTCCGCAGAAATCGCGGTGTCAGGAAAATTGTTTTCTCTTTATTTCTACGGACGACTTCGAAGAAGAAAATGATAAACAAATAAAAAGAAAACTTGCCCCCCCTTGACATCTCCCTTCTAGAGGAGATGTTTGAGGTGCTTGACATGCACAATGATGCCTGTTCCATTCTGTGCTGGCGTTTTTTTATGACCACTTGATGCTCACCCACTACTTGACCCCCCTCCATCTTCTTAATAAAGAAGAATAAAATACTTTGTCTTCCTTTGTGCACTTAAAATCAATTCTTCCTGTTTCTTGTCTCTTTTTCTCTTCTCTTTTCTTGCTTGCAAATAAAACAATTTTTCTTGTTTCTTTTTCTCTTTTTTGCAAAAAAATGTAAAAAAGTTGGGCACTCAGTATGCCTTCTGAATACAGGTTTACAGCTGTAACTGTAAATGCTGATGTGGCTTCTTTTTTTTTAATAAATTCATTTTCTTTGTTGCTGCACTTTTTTTGCTTTAAATATTTTGCATTCTTCATCCATGGAACCCATGAGCTTGGTTCTGTGGATGGTGGGAAGGTGCTCTGCAGGCTGTTTGGAATATTTACTTTTGACTGTATAAAATCACTGCTCAGTGTGAGTCATTTGAGGAATGCTCCTTTGTTGACAAGAAGTTGCTGTGGAAAGTGGCCCTAGACACGCTGAGCTTCTTTTCCTTACCACCCTTGGCGATGCCACGCATGTGGGGCTCTTCAAGAGGCAGGGAGAGCTTTGCCCTTCAATTAAATAAAACAGAGCAGGCCCTTCTGTGCCTTGATTCATGTGCCACAGACAATTGAGTGCATGATTCAACAAGTACATGTGTTAATTGCTTTCAATTAGCTGTTAATTTTGCTAATCTTGCCTTTCTCCAGTGGCCAAGCTGCAATGCCCAAAAATGGAGTATGTTTCCTTCCCATCACTCTCCCCAATGGGTTAATCATGCAATCCATGCAGGTACAGCAGCATTGCCCAATATCATAACCCCAAGGAGCACAAGAGGTGATTGTGGAAGAAACACAAGCCATGCCCATTGCTGTACATCAATCCACCTTTCCCATTTACTTGATTTCTAACACCCTCAAGGGCTGATTGTGAGAGGAGGCTGCATCATTACACAGGTAAAAACAAGTGGAAGCAAATATGCAAGGATGTAGTGCAATGGCGCAGCCTCAAGATGGTACATGTGATTGTGTGATTGTGTTGCTAATCTACTGATGTCATGTTGTTGCTGCAGGTGTACCTGCTGAATCTTCATGTAGACTGACAAGACATCATCAACATCAATGATCAACATCTCTACTTTGGTGATTGTGAAGAACAGTACTTCATTGCTGTTATCTGCATGTGGTTGTTTAATGACATGCACAAGGGCTTTGAAGACCATGCCTACATGAACAACCTGGATGGCATGATCAATGACTTCTACCACCAGCTCTTTGTGCACCAGATCAACTTTGCCTTTGACCTGGACAAGGAGCATGTGCTCCTTTTTCAAATCTTCTCAATGTACTATCACAGGAGGTAATTGCGCCTCCTGCTTCCTGTTATGTTTTTGCACCTACTCACTTCCTTTACACCCCTTCCTTCATCTGCTTAGATACAAGCAGAAGCAGATGAAGGAGGAGATGCAAAGGAAGATCACTTGTGACAAGTACAAGGCAAGCTCTACGTTGATGATGCTTGCCTTGAGGTATGTGTTGTATGTAAATCTCCTTTCTTGTCTCAATTTGTTTTTGTGTAGTGCACAAGACCAGTACAGCAGTGAATATGAGATGCATGTGAAAGAAGAGAAAGAAGAGAAAGAAGAAGGTGAGGTGGTCGCCAAGGCTGCCAGCCTCCTCATGGTACCTTCCTTTCTTTGCTCTTTACTTGTGCACCTGATGCTCCTCCTTTACGTATTTTGTACACAGGAGGCACATGGACTTGACACTGAGATGATTCTTGCATGTGCAACGCATGGGGCTTGTTCTGTTTGGTGATGGTCTGAACACCAAGGCGCTTGCCTTCACCATCAATGATGGCCCCAAGGAGCTCATTCATTGGCGCTTCAACAAGCACAGGCGCAAACGAGAAGCTGGCTGCAGAACAGTGATTGCTCAAGTGAAAGCGCCAGGCCAGTGATGAGGGAGATGAAGGTGACAACAATGAGTGCAACAGAGTTTTCAGCTACAGCAAGGAAGAGAAGGTCAACAGAAGCAAGAGCAAGGTTGAGAGTGAGGTCAAGGTCAAGAGCAAAGAAACAATAAATGATGTTGAGGACACACAAGGAGATGAGCTGGAGGACTAGGACAATGAGCAAATGGAAGACAAGGCAATTGCAGCCATGGCAGCCATCAACACTGAGAGGGCCAACAACAACAATGATGCACACATTCCAGAGGACCCAATGGGTCCAGCAACGGAGGAAGAGCTTAATGAACATGATCTGCCTCCAGTACATTTGCTGTTGTTATTACCTTTATTCTTACTGACCTCCTATGTTCACTTCTAAAATGTAGGCACATCACAGGCGTGTAGCGCAAAGACAGGGAGCCATAGAGCGCACAATAGCAGACCCAAAGAACAAGGCACTCTACAAGCACATGCAGCACAACAACACCACTGAGCGCACAATGGAGGACCTGCTTTGTATGCATTGGAATCCACCATTCTGTTTCAGGACAATCACCAAGAGCGTCCATGTGCTGAGCAAGGCTGGTCAGGTACACCACAAACAACATTATTTTTGTTGTTTTCATCATTTTCAGTGATTGACTTGCATGCAGATGATGTACCCACCAGTTGCACAGCGTCGGGCTTGTGTTGGTTGGGGGACGCTTGACTTTGTGTCCCCAACTGATGTGATCTGTGATTGCTACAAGCTCAAGGTAGACTTGAGCAATGAGCACTTCCATTTTGAATGGAGTGCAAGGCTCAAGCACCCATGCAACTGCAAATGATTTGAGCAGTGTGAATGGTACGACACCCCACAAAAACCCTCAATACTAACTTACTAACTTCGTGTTTGTCTTAAGTTACATGTGGAGCAGGGCCCACATGCAAGGGTGAAGGTGGAAGGACTGCTGGCTCATCCTTCCCATTTTTTATATTGATGTGTTTGAGCAAAGTAGATTGAGAAACTGAAGTGTCGTTGGGATCTACATGTCCTTCACCAATGTGTTGATGGATGAAATGGAGATCACTGAGTCAAGATACCTCCTCTGCCTTGTGCTGCAGGATGTTGACCTCTTCAACGCCTTGCGGATCGTCATCATCACACCAATGCGCCTGCTCAAGCGCAGATACAACATCTACTTCAAGGCCAACAACACCATGTGCCACTGCTACGGCTCCATCTACTGTATCCTCAGCGACCATCCCTCACAGGCACTGTGTGCCAGTACATTCATCAATTGTTCAGTTTGTCTTTCTTCAAGTTAACTTATGTTTTATTCATGTCACAGGATTAGCACAGGGCGGCTGGGGGTCATGCTGATACTGCCACAACCTCTCGGCCTTCTTCCATGAGGTGGAATGGCTGATCAAGGTTGGCAGCTGAATGGTGCACCAGCCCCAGTGACATGGCAACTACTGGAGCGTCTATGACGCTCATGTTGTGATGCTCAAGGACTCCAACGAAGGAGTCTGTGGCAAGGTTGGCCCCACTGATGAGAAAATAAAGGTGCATGGCTGGGGCCAACAGGTAAGCCCATTTTGGGAGCTCCTCTGGATGTGTGAATTGTTTTATGATTGCTTTGGTATCTGTCTACTGCATATTGAGCACCTTGGTCTTCTCAAGGTGCATCGACCTGATCCTTACACAACTTTTAACTTTATTAACTTCTTCTTCATTTGAAGAGACACTTGCAGTACACAAGCACAGTGCATGGGCTTGAGGAAGAGCTCAACAAGGCGTTCAAGGCTTTCCCACCATTCCCAGGAAAGCAGAGCTTTGCAAACCGGACGCAGATTGTCCGGCGTAATCCAAATGTACGTTTTCCTTTTTCTTTCTTCTCTGTTCTTCTCTGCGCAACACTCACAGCCGTCATTGCGTATGACATGCGCACGACCAACGGACATGTGCATGACCAACGGACGCGCATGCGCACATGCACACGCACGACCAACGACACGCAGGGCAAGGTGGTGGTGGCGGGGCTGACAGGAGGCGAAATGGACAGCTTCCTGCAGGTCGCCGAGCTCCTGTTCAAGGAGCGGGTGAGCGATCCGCAGGAGCGTGAGTGCTGGCAAATCCACGTCGATATCGTCCGCCTCCTGCAGCAGGAAAGCTTTGACGCCAACAGCTTGAGAAGCTGACCAAGAGATGGAAACATCTCATGGTCAAGTTCTACGGTGGCGTTGCCGAGCGGCAGCGAGCGACGAGCTTGAAGAAGACGCGGTTGAAGAAGCGGTCGAAGAAGTGGTCGCGGACGGCTGAGACGGTGGCCAGTGACATGATGACGAGTGGAGAGAAGCCACTCAGCTTCAAATTTCCGAACTTCGAGGTTGCGCAACACTGGCCGGAGTTGATTCGCTTCCTCGGGCCCCCATGGGTGCAGGACACGCGCCTGTGGGAGCAGCGGCACCTCGCGGCGAAGATGACCGCGCATAGGATGAACCAGATCAACACCGAACGTGCAATTCTTGTGAAGGTATGGCTTTGTTGCATGTTTTTTTAACGTTTGCTAACCTCTGGTTTTGTTGTTAAGACGCACCAAAAGGACGCCGTCATTCGCCACCGAGCATACGCTGGGCTGCCCCGCGTGAGCTCTGTGGATGGGTCCCGGAAGGAACCCTACACGCTCAGCGTTCGTGGCACAACAACCAGCATCACGAGGGACCGCAGGCGCAACCTCTTCGACGCAGTCAGCCGTGAGCTGGGCGAGGGCGTCCAGATAGTGGACGACATCACCTCGCACAAGTCGGCCCACTACTACGGCCACTTCCTGCGACCAGGCGATGGGATCGCCTTGCGTGTTCCCGAAGACTATCCAAACGTACGATAGTGTGCTAGTGTTGTGTTTCGCTTCTCATTACTAATTCTTTATTTAATTGTAGATACGGTTCATCATCGACAACTCACGACACGCCATCCTCGACGAGTCCGAGACGCAGTGTGTCATGATCGGAAGGATATCTCGTCTGCTTCGCATTGCCTGCGACAACGTGGTGAAGGCGTGGGTCGAGCTCGAGCTTGGCGATCTGCGCGGCGTCAGCGATGGCTTTCTCGAGTTCCGGCTCAGCCAGCGACGGTTCTACCTTCCCTTTGGGTGGAATGGATGGACCGTCGCCAAGCGCGTCCACCTCGTGCAACAACATGCGGGCTTGCTCTATAACCATCGCGTTAGGTGGCACCTGGGCGACAGGTGGGCCACACCGGCGAGCGGCGCACGACCAGCGGCGTGGAGCACGACCAGCGCGATCGGCGGCGCGGAGCACGACCAGCACGACGACTAGCGCCACCAGCACGACGACCAGCGGCGCGGAGCACGACCAGCGCGACCAGCGGCGCGGAGCACAACCAGCACGACGACTAGCAAGGTGGACAGGAGGTGGACAGGAGGTGGACAGGAGGTGGACAGGTGAAGATGGAATTGTCCACCTTTTTCAATACAACCATTCGACCTACTCAAGGTGGAAAAAGGTGACCTCAATGTGCTGGCTTTTGGTGGTTTTTCCCGTCTTGTGAAAGGTGGAAAACAGCTATCTTTTTCCCACCTACCGTCCCGGCAGTGTAGATGCTACTCTTGGCCGGTTGAGCGCCACCTCGTCGGTGCATAACGTGATCGGGTAGTGTGGCGATGACATGGCTGAGCGCCCCTTCCCTCACCCTCTAGAAAAGGAAGGGGATGAAGCGCTTGCGGGTGGCGGTGTGTGCCTCCCATCGCTTGCCAAAGTGGCGGTGGAGGGCGGCCTCTTCGACTGAGACGCGTCGGTAGAAAGCGGCCGCGGTGAGCAGCGCCAGCACGGCGCAGGCGATGTCGAAGCGGAGGAGCGAGAGGGGCCACGGCTGCAGCCACCAGAGGCGGTCCCACACGAGCAGCGCCAGGTAGCCGGCCTGGACGAGGACCGCGCCGGTGTAGGACGGGTGGAGGAGGAGCGCGTAGGGACCAGACTGGACGAGCTCGTGGTTGCGCAAGATGGTGAGGCTGAAGGTGAAGTGGCGCGCCAGGGTGCGATAGCACCACAGGCGGAGCAGGGCGCCAGCCACGACCATGGCAAGTGCGATTACGTCGCTTGGGTACCACCGTGCGAAGCTGCTGGCCTCCGCCTACATTGATTGCTTCAGCTTGAGAGGGCGAAGAAGAAAGAAAAAGATGAAGAGATGGGGAGATGGAGGACGGTACGAAAGCGTTATGGGCCATCTCCTGCTGCCACATCGCGTACATGTAGGTACAGTAGGCCACAACGTAGAGGAGTGCAGCCAGGTGCTGGCCCCACTTGACGAGGAAGGCGGCCAGGGCGCCCTCGCTCACCACCTTGCCCGCTGCAGGATCTTTCGGTGGAGCATTCGGCGGGGTGCTGCTCTTGATCGCCAGCACCGTCGCCACCCCCAGCCCCACAACCTTCGTCCACATCTCTCCTATCCCAGCTTTTCTTCGGAATAAATTAGAAAACAAAAAATAAAATACAATAAAATAAAGCACAAAAACAAAAACCACATATCTTTTCGTGTCGTCCGACAAGATGGAGCGCAGAGGGGGCAGAAAGGGATCGGGCTCGGGGATGAAGAAGAAGGGCGGCAAGAAGGGCACCAGCGGAGCGGGGCAGAGCTCCGCCGGCAGCAGCAACAAGGGAACCAAGCGTAAGTTCCCGACCCTCGCCGGCATGTCGTTCGCCCCTCTGCAGCAGAGCACCAGCAGCAACGTTAAGAAAAACAACAAGAGCAACAAGAAGCAGAAGCGCAACAACAACAACAACAACAACAAGCAGCAGCCCAAGGGCAAGGCCAACAAGAAAGATTCCAAGCCTCCTCCGGCCCAAGCCAGCTCCGCTAGTGGGAGCGGCTACGCCGGGTGGGTGCCGCCACAGCGCCGCGGCGGGCAGGTGGCTGTGGAGGAGCTCGCCGGGGTGGGCCCGGCCGAGGCTCCGCAGCGTGTGTGGGAGCGGTACGTGGCCACGCGGCGGCCGGTGGTGCTCCGCGCGGGCCACCACCTGCTCGGCCCCGAGTGGCGGGCCTCGACCGAGTGGGCCAGCCTCGAGCGGCTGCGCGAGCGCGCCGGCTCGGCCGCGGTCAAGGTCGAGCGACGCGACAGCTCGCGCGGCCGGTTCGGCGAGGGCCGCGAAGTGCGCACCACGTTCGGCACCTTCCTCGACGGGCTCGCCGCGGGCGACGACCTGCACTACATGACCACGCAGGACATCACCCGCGACCCCGACGGCCGGCCGGAGATCATCGCGCCGCCGCTCACGCTGCTCGCCGACGACTTCCCGCTGCGGCCCGCGCTCATGGGCCACCTGGTCCCGGCCAGCCTCAACCTGTGGATGGGCAACAGCCGCGAGGGCTCCATGAGCGGCCTCCACCACGACTACCACGACAACCTCTACGTGCTGCTCAAGGGCCGCAAGCGCTTCCAGCTCTTTCCGCCGTCCGACGCCGCGCGCATGTACACGCAGGGCCGCATCGTGCGGGTCCACCCGAACGGCCTGATCAGCTACCAGCGGGGCGTGCGCTCGGACGGGGCCGACGCGGGCGTCGAGGCGGCGGTGGCCGCGGAGGAGGCCCACGCGCGGGCCGAGGAGGAGCTGGCGGCGGCCGAGGCGGCGGCGGAGCGCGGCGAGCCCGGGGCCGACGAGCGACTGCGCGCGGCCGAAGCTGCGCTCGAGTCAGCGCTCGACGACGTGCTGGCCGCACAGATGGACGGTGACGACGAGGGCGAAGGCGACGGCGACGACGGAGACGACGATGTCTTCGCCGGCAAGGACGACTTTGATGACTTTGATGATGATGACGACGACGAAGCCGCAACCACGAAGAAGCAGAAGAAGAACAAGAAAGAGAAGAACAAGAACAAGAGTGAAGATGAAGAGGAGACCGAGATGGTGAGAATTAAGGACGCGGATGGGAGCGGTCCGGCGCTGCCGCAAAACTTCAGCAAGGTGGACATGACCCTGCCGGCCGACGAGCGCGAGGCCCGGTGGCCGCTCCTACGCGAGGCGTCGATGATCGAGTGCGAGGTGCGAGCCGGCGACATGCTGTTTCTCCCCGCCGGCTGGTTCCACAACGTCACGTCCTTCAGCGACAACGACGCCGGCCTCCACATGGCCTTCAACTACTGGTACCCCGCGTGGTGGTCCCAATGCCTCCCGCACGTGTGGCGTGCGCCTTTGCTCACACTCCAGCGCGCGTGCTGCTCCAGGTTCCACCCGCCAGACGCAAGCACCTACGCGCAGCCGTACCACAGCAACTTCTGGCAGCACGACTGGGAAGCACGCACACCGCAGCCCTAGCGTACCCCCCCCCCATTGCCCACCCCGTGGCCACAAACAAAATATATTGAGTAGTATACCTTACCGCTCACATGACGCCTTCTTGATGTGCCACAAGTCCATCTCCGTGGTTGGTGGTCAGTTCGTCGAAATGATTGTTGCTAACATGCAATAAATAAATAAATAAATAAAATAACTGTGTTTACAGGACAGCGATCAGGAGGGGAGGACGTAGTGGTCGATGAGCTGGTAGACCTTGTCCTTGGAGAAGGGCTTGCTGATGTAGTCGTTCATCCCCACGCCGAAGGCCATCAGCTTGTACTCGCTTCGCGTGTATCCGGACATGCACACGACCGGCACGCGTCGCTTGCCGCCGGCGTGCTCCTCCTCGACCTTTCTGATCTGCAGCGTCGCCTCGATGCCGTTCATCCCCGGAAGCTCGATGTCCTGTACGTGCCACGTGTGGGTGTGTGGTGTAAGCAAGATTGATTGTACCCGGGTGTGGGCACACTGCGTGCACGTACCATGAAGACGAGGTCGAACGGGCGTCGCTGATCGGGTGGTCCACCGTCGTCTTTGTCTGCGAGCGAGTCTCGGTAGAGCCTGAGCGCATCCTCGCCTGAGGGCGCGACCACGTACTCAATGCCGCGCCGCTCTAAAAACCGCGACAGCACCATCTGGTTGATTTGGTTGTCTTCGCATACCAGCACCCGTGGTCGTCGGAGCTGGGCCGCCGTCGTCGCTCCCGATGCCTCGCGCTGCACCCGCTCCTCGGCCTCCTTGATCAGGGCCTCCGCCGCCTCGCGCCCGTGAATGCCCGCCGATGACCGGACGTCGCTCAGAGTCGCGGCGGTGGTCCCAGGCCTGGGCCGCCCGCATCGCACGACGAACGTGAACACGCTTCCCTCGCCGATCGCGCTCCGCACGGAGATGGAGCCGTGCATGAGTTCGACCAGCTCCTTGGTGATGCGCAGGCCCAGGCCCGACCCGCCGTACTCAAGCACGCGCTTGCGCTTGAGCTTGGCGAACGGGGCGAACAGCAGCGCCTGCGCGTCGTCCGTGATGCCCACCCCGTTGTCCTCCACGCTGCCCTCCAGGTAGACCCATTGGTCGTCATCGCCGTCGCCGTCGCCGTCGCCGTCGCCGCCCACCTGCTTCTGCTTGGTGCGCAGGGTGATCGTCACGCGGCCTCGGTCCCTGGAGTATTTGAGGGCGTTGCTGATGAGGTTGATCAGGATCTGCTTGAGCCGGTTCTCGTCGGCGATGACGAGCCCCTCGGCGCCGGGCGGGACCCGGTCGGTGTTGGTGAGGAGCTGCAGGTGCTTCATGCGCGCCATGCCGTTGTACATGTTGACGACGGACTCGAGCGTGTGCCGCGGGTCGAAGGTGGTGTGGCCGGCTGTGCCGAGGTTGGTGGTCTCGAGGCGCGAGAGATTGAGCACGTCGTCCATGATCACGCGCTGGTGCTGCGCGCATTCGTCGATGTGCGCCAGAAACTGCGCGGCGTACTTGGCCTTGTGCTCGGCCGCTACGAGGTCCTTCTCGCGGATGGCTCCGCGCAGTCCCGCCATCTCCTCGCGCACGCACGCCAGCAGTCCCAGCACGCCGTTCAGCGGATTGCGCAGCTTCACGCACGACACACACAACACACACGACATGACACGACAAACACAGGTGAGTCATGCGCGAGACGGACACGCTGGCGCAGGCGGGGCTGTACCTCATGGCAGAGCATATCGATGAAGTCGTTTTGTTTGCGTTTGTACTCCTCGGCCTCTTCGAGCCGGAGGCGCTGCTCCTCGAGCAGCCGCAGCTGCGCGCGCTTGAGGTCCGTGATGTCCCGCGAGAAGCACCGCGTGTGCACGAACTCGCCGTTGTGCCAGTAGACGTTGCTGTTGATCTGGAGCACCTTGCGCGTGCCGTCCTTACACGCAAGCTCCGCCTGAGTTTGCCACGCGTGAACCAAACAAAACGCAATAATGAGTTTTGCTGTCTCTGAGTCGTGTGTCGGTTCAGCTCAGTTCGGATAACTAGCGAAATAGCTGTGCTCACCTCGTAGTTGAGCAAGGTCTCCTGCCGCTTGAGACGATCAAAAATGTCGTTGATGGTCTCGCGACAAGCGTGGAAGTCGGTGATGTTGCGACCCAGGTACTCCTCCGCCGTGTAGCCTGCCCCATGCGGTTTAAATCGTTGGTTTTACGAACAAAGAGAAAAAACCAGAATCTCGGATCGCGAAAGGGAGAAGCTCTGAGGTGGTCTACTCGGAGGACGAGGTACCGAGGCAATCGAGTTCGGCCTTGTTGGCGTAGATGATGGTTCCGTTTGCGTCAACAAAGTGGACGGCGACGGAGCAGTTGTCCAGGATGGCTCGCGCGTCCTCCAGCCCCACGTTAGCCCAGCCGGGGAGCGCGGCCGCGCTAATGCTGCCTGCATCCATCATCTCTTCTTCTTCTCGTGTGAACTTTTAATCCTCATTGTGGCCGGGGCCTTCGTCTCAAGACGGACGCCATGCTGCTGGTAGGAATCTGAAATTTCGCTTTAAAATTGCAGATTTCCTTTTGCCGCTATCACGTGCGCGAAGCCCAACACGACTTGACATTCCAAACCAGGACTTTTGTTCCCTGTTCGGATGGTGCTGGCAGTTTTCCACCATCTCCACATCTCTAAACAGGGCCACCGTCGTTCGGTCCGGCCGCGAGCTCTGGGTCACCCACCCAAAGGGGCACATGTCGGGCAACATACCAGATAACTTTACTACACGCGACATTTCGTCGGCATGCCTGGTAAGGCTAGTGATGTGGAGTGAAAACATGAATGCATTCATGTTCTGCTGTGAGGCGGCTCACTCTTTATTGGAAGTGTGAGCATTGCGGCTTACTGGTGGTGGCAGGCCAGCGGGGATCCCGTCACCGAGGAGCGCGGCGATGGATGGTAGGGCCAGTCCTCCTCCGCTTGACGGCGGCAATCGGGTGGGATTCGGGGAGGCGAGGGACGAGGAGAGAAGCGTGGCCGCGGCCGAGAGCCCCCCAGGCGCGGAGAAGGCGCCGCTGGTGGAAGGAGCCGAAGTGGCAGCGAGCGACCACAGGGGAGTGGTGGAGGGTATCATCAGAGCCGCGAGCGGTGGCAAGGCACCTGCTGGTGGCTCGTGCGCCGCAGAGGATGCTGGAAAACTGCCGCGTGGAACCGTTGACACAGATGGCAGGGTGACTGAGCCGAGGGAGGGAGTTGGGCGCTGCGGAACGGCAACTGTCAAAAGCTCCGGAGGGGCGCCCGAGCGGGGTAGGAGCGGGAGATGAGGGAAGGGCGCAGGAGAAGGCGGCTGAAGGAGAGAAGGACCCGAGCGCGGATGGGAAGCCTGTTTGTTGGCTGCAGACGACGAAGACGACGAGGGGAGACCTGTAGATGATTGGAGGTGCTGGGAAAAGTGGTCGAGCAGTTGGCGCATGACGAGCCTCACCTTGTGCTCCTCGTGATTCTGATCGGCCGCAGCAGCGGCACTTGTCGGTTGAGTAGGACCTGGTGGCGCAGGTGTTGTCGATGTCGCCGTTTCTTCCGGCCGATGAACAGGAGGAAGAGGAGAGCCCGTGAGTCCGGGCGAGCTCTGTGGGCCTCGCGTGGTGTCGTTCCGACGCCTGTTGAGGTCGGCCTCAACCGGGGTGGTCGCAATTTGATTGCTTCGCGCGATGATCGCCTGTGGGCGGAAGAGTTGAGAACTCATGGCGGATCACCAAAGGTGACGGTCCAGGTTACGACGGGTACCTGCGCTCGCGCTTGAATGTTCTCTTCCGCACCAGAAACTGTTTCGGTGTGGCTTCTCTTCGTTGCCTGCGTGCGGCTCGTGGGTGGTCGTTTGCGCTTGTGCTTCTTCTGCTGTTGCCGCCGCCGCACCTCCTCGGTGCCGCTGTCGCTGCTGCTTCCCTCGATTTCCTTTGCTTCTGTCCCTAAAAGGCGACCACCGAGGTTGACCCTGGCCCCAGCATTACCTTGCACTTCGTCGCTCTTCACGGCCCTGGTTCCCGCTTCGGTCCACCTCTGTCTCCCGCCATTGTCGATGGAGGTGGGCGCCTGGCTGACGGCGGCGGTCGCCAGCGCGTCCAGAAACTGGGCAACCTCGAGCATTGAATTCTGAGAAGCGGGCTGTGCCAGGCACGACGCGTTGCCGCCCACACGCAGCGTAAGCCGATTGGTTTTCTATGCAAAGTCTGGTGGTCTCGTCGAATGGTACCTCGCACTTGGCCTGGGCCGGTAGTGGCGAGACGACAGGGCTCTTGGCTTCGTCGGTCCTTGTGTCGCGCGGCTCCCCAGAATGACGTCGGTACCGTTTAGCGGGGGTCTTGCCGCTGTGGCCCTCGTCGTCATCGTCGCCGTCGAACTTCTTGTAGTGGGTGCCGTCGATGATCCGCTTCACCAGTCGGAGGGATCGGTATTCCTTGCCATCGGGTCCGACGTAGACCGTTTCCTCCTCGTCCTTCGCCGCTCCCTTCGCCAGCCCCTTCTTAGGCCTGCGTAGTAGACGTACCCGCACGACCAGCGACGAGTAGTTGAACATGTGCGCATGTGAGACATGGTCCATTGCACACGCCACGACCCGTTGGGGGAGGGGAGAAGAGGTTACTTGGTAATGGTCTTCCAGCCACTGGCGAGGGCGCTCTCGTCCAGCTGGGTGGTGCCCTGCTCCTTCTTGATGGTGGCACCCGCTTCGGCGAGGAGCCGCTCGCTCTCCTTTCGTCTGTGCCGCTTCTTGGTGGCCGGATCGTCACTGCTGCTGCTATGACGGGCTGCCACCACGGCTGAAAGCTGAGGCGGCAGCAGCGGAGTCGCGGGCGGCGAAGGTTCTTCGTGTGGCGAGTAGTCCCCGCCATCATCGTCACCACCACCACCACTGTCGTCATCAGGGCCTAGCCCCCCGCTATTGTCTGCGTCGTCACCCCCACTCTCAGGGGTCTGAATCTGTGCTTGTTGGGTGGTGGTGGTGGGGGGGGGGCGTGTAGCGTAAGCGTCTTCTCCCAGAAGAACACCAGAAGAAGGACCCACTCACCTGGCGCAGCCATCGCTGCCTGTGCTCGTGGAGTCGTATCCGGGCCTCGACCTGCTTCTGGGACTCGTTCCGGCCGCGCTTGTACTGCTTCTTCGGACCCCTTCGCTGTGGTGTGCGTGGGTGATGAAGGCGAGTCAGCTGGGTAGTGCATTATTGTGTCGACAAGCGAAAAATGTGCTCGAGAAGAAGGAAAGAAGAGACAGCTGCGCTGCTGGCGAGTGGCCGCGGTTGATGAGGTACAGCACGACACGTGGGGGGCAAGGGCGAAGGGAAGAAGGCTTGGTACACCTTAGGGAGCACTGGGGAGGGCGCTTCGGCCTTGGGCGGCAATTGGAAACTGAGGTGCAGGGACGGAGGCAGTTCGGAGGGTGGGTAAGAACTGTTGTTGTTGTTGGAGCTGCTGTGCGCAGAAGCGGCGCGAGTTGTGGTCTCCGGTTCCTCTTGCATCTTTCTGCAAACTAGAAATCTGTGGTGCGGGAACAACTCCGTCTATTTTGAGACTTTGCGAGCCCAAAGGGGGCTTAGGAGGGAGTGTGGGTGGGGGTAGGTGATGATGATGGTGGTGTGGACCCGGGCTTGACCTGAAAACGAAGAAACCACATCAAATTTATAGTGTGCCAGACTCCGTGCGGTGCTGGACCCAGCCAACCAGCAAAAATTGGTCTCAATTGTTTTCTCATTTTTGTTTCATTTGCTAAATTCTTTTCCCTGCGGGAAATTACCGGCGGCCCCACCGACCATTCTTTGGCTTGGTCGTTTGGTTGTGGTTGTCCAGGTGGTTGCGGCCTGTTGTCTGTAATCTCTTGCCGGCAAGATGAACACAGCCTCGATGGCGCAGGTCAAGCACAACACCCAGCGCATTGCCGCGTGTACGCTCGCTCCCCTTCGAAATCTATGTAGTAGGGGCGCATTTGTTGGGCCAATGGCACCGGCTCGGATCTGCATTCATGCATTTCGATGGATTGAAAACGAATGTGTGTGGCTGCAGTGGCACACGAAGTGGTAGGACAGGCCCGCAATGAGGAGGAAAGATGGAAATCCTTCCTTCAGCTTCACGCTGCCCTTCAGGAGCTCAAACGTCGTCAACAGAAGAAGAAGAAAGGTTCAACTACGTTCCCTTCACTAGAAAGGCGCTTTCTTCAGATCTCCTTGACACTCATTTTACTCTGAATTTTGATCAATTGTTGTCCAACAATCACTGTTTTTTTATATATTTTTTATACACAAAAATCTTCGGCCAAGGCCTTGTTAGTATTGCCTCGACTTGACACCGTAAGTTAACCTCCTTGTGTGTTGTCGCTCTGCCGCATCCTGCAGGAGTGGAGCCTTCCGGCCCCACAAGGGACGACCTGGAGCAGCTCCGTGTGTGGCTGCTGAAGAACGGGCTCGACAGCAAGTGGCTTGAGGGCATCGAGTTTGCCGCCAACCTGCCCGAGGGCAGCGGCGTAGTCGCCAAGAAGGATTTCAAGAAGGGGGAGCCGTTCCTTCAGGTTGTTTCTTTCTTCCTCATCTTGTCTGGTCCACGCGCTAACAGTGGCCGAACGTTCACACACACACACACACACACAACAACAACAACACACACACACCACACACACATAGGTCCCGCGAAAGCTGATGTTCACGTGTCAGGCCATGCAGAACACCCCGCTGGGGCAGCTGCTCAAGGTGGACAAGTTCTTGGCGCAATCGCCCAGCTTGTGCCTTGCTCTTCACCTGCTGGTCGAAAAACACAACCACTCCTCTTTCTGGACGCCCTACATCAGTACTGCCTCCTTGTCTCCTCTGCGTGTCAGTAGAATCAATTCTCAAGCTTGGTCATCTGCTAACCCACGCATCCTTCGCCTCGTCACAGAAACGCTGCCCAAGTCGTACGGAACGTGTCTTTACTTTACGCTGGAGGAGCTGGAGGGCCTGCGCGGCTCGCCGACCTTCACCAGCGCCATCAAGGTCATCGCCACGGTGGCCATCCAATACACCTACATCCACGATCTGTTCCAGGTTCGCCCTTCGCCGCCGCCATTTCTTAGTTTGCGGCCTCTCGAGCTTCTCATTCTGGTTGAGTCTCACCTCCGGGTCGTAAACGCGCGCGTGCTGATCAGATTCGGAAGGACATTCTGCACATCAATGCATTCACGTGGGACGAATTCATCTGGGCGATGTCAGCTGTGGGTTCCCGGCAGAACCAGGTCCCTCAATGGGGACACAACGCGTTGTCGGAGTATGCCCTCATCCCTGCGTGGGACATGTGCAACCACGACCACGGCGACGTACGTTTAGCTCTGCTATGCTCTGTTCTCCTTTGCCTCAATCTTGCTGACCGGGTGTCTCTGCTTGGTCAAACCCTCACGACGAGCAGTTGCAAACGTTTTGGGACGTCAACAGCGATTCGACAGAGTCGCACGCAATGCGAGCGTACAAAAAGGGCGAACAGGTGCACACACTTCCCCCCCGCTTCTCTCTTTCTCCTCTCTCTCTCTCTCTCTCATCATGTTGTTCACACTGGCGCGACAGGTCTACATTTTCTACGGGCCAAGGCCGAACTCGGACCTGTTGCTCCATGCGGGCTTTGTCTACGAGAACAACCGCTTTGATGCGCTGGCCATCCGCGTGAGGCTTGCTCCTGATGCCGAGCACATCAAGGACAAGCTTCGGCTCTTGCACCTCAACAACATGAAAATGTACCCCCATCCCCTGCCCCACTGTCCTCACTTGCGAACCCTAGCGTTGGGCGCACCGACTCACCTTTTTCCTTTCCTGCAGGGATTCGCAATACTATCTCTACGGGCTGGGCCTGGCGGTCGACCTCATGGCATTCCTGAGGATTCACGCCATGAACGAACAGGAACTCCAGCAGGTGCTGGGAGCTTACGACCAACAGGTGCGTGCAGGGCCAGACGCAAGCACGCACCACCTTCTGGACGAGCCTGTGCTGACTGGGTGTATGTGGCTTCAGGAGGCGAAGGTGCACAATGGCGAACATCCGGCGTCCAACGGCGAGGTGGTCGCATCCGGAGTGTTCGACCCTCGGGTCAAGCTCAACGATCGCAACGAGCTGGCCGCCCTCCAACTCGCCGAGGCCAAGTGTCTGAGCCTCCTCTCGCTCTACCCCACCACCCTCCAGGTACACCTTTTTTGTCCTCTTCTGTTTCTCTCGCTCTCGCTTCCTCCCCCCCCCACACACCGATCAGGTGGCTAACGGCGTGGAACTCAAACAGGAGGACCAGGCGGCTCTGCGAACAACCAGCCTGACACCCAACATGAGGGCCGTGACGTTGCTGCGCCTGAAGGAGAAGGAGATCCTCAACCGCACCCTCGACGCCATCCGACTGCTCAAGGGAGAAGTTGGCGGCACCGTTGGAGCTGCGCCGTCGCCGGCCTCATCCTCCTCGAACGGCACCGTAGCGCCGGCGCAGCAGCCAAGCAAGAACAAGAAGCGGAAGAACCGCAAGAAGAAGACTGCTGCCGCTGCCGCGACCACCTCGGAAGAGAGCGAAACTCCTGCTGCTGCCTCATCGCCCACGACGGAGGAGAAAGACCGAACGGCGTAAACGCGCCAAAAAAACATGATGTATCAACCACCTCACCATCCCCCATGTAGCTCTCTGTGTTCATTTTTGCCTCCGAACAGCCCTGTCTCTCCTCCACACTCGGCGCTCTCTCCTCGCGCTTCTCTTTTCCTCGCTGGCGTCCGTGGTGGTTGCTGTGAAGGTGGTCGGAGTTAAAGAAAGGGGAGCGATGCTTGGTGACGCGCGTGTTCGACTTAACCACCGACACGAACAGCACAGCGCAACACGCTGGAAGGGGGTCAAGAGAGAAAGAGAGAGATAGAGAGCACGAAGAGAAGAGTCCAGAAAAAAATGGTGCGACCCCTCCCTCCTTCGTCAACACAAGGGAAGAGATCTAGGGAGACTCAGCGGGGGTACATGGGCAGGAGGTGAAGGTGATCGCGGTGTGCGACTTCCGAGCGGAGCACGAGGACGAGCTCGGCTTCTTTGAGGACGACACCTTCGTCGTGTTCGCCCGCCTCGCCGTACGCGCCCTCCTTTCGTCCTCGCTCTTTGGGGGGGACAAAATAATTCCTTTTTATAAGGTAATAATAACAATAATTATGTGTTAAAAAAATGTCCGCTGTGCGCAGGAGGACGAGGGGTGTTGGTGGGGGCGAGCCAAGGGCGCGGAGGGCATCTTCCCGGCCGAGTGCGTGCAGGTGCTGCGCGGCGACCCCGACCAGCTCCCGCTGAAGAGCATCGAAGAGGAGGGTCAAGAAGGCGGCGGCACGCCGCAGCAGCAGCAAGAGGAAGAGACGCAAAAACAAAAAAAGGCCAACGACGACGACGCCCAACAAGTCCAGGCCGAGAAGGACAAGGAAGAGGAGACGGCGACTGACAAGGCCCACCAGGAAGAAGTCAAGTCGGACGTGCAGCCTGCAAATGAGAAGGGAGGAGAGGCCGAGGCTGCAGCGAAGCCCATCGATGTCGCAGCATCTGCGGAGAGAGGAGGCAAGGCCAAGGAAAAGGAATCGGCCGAAGAAGACGGCGGCGAATACTCGCCGCCTCCTCCCGTATGTCTTCCACGCCACTGATCATTCCCACACGCACGCTTGAGCGCCGATTTGGTGGACGGACGCCGCTCACCGCTAGCGGTCGTGGTGGGGGCGTGCAGGAACCGGAGCACGTGGGCCGCGCTGCCGGCGAAGTTCGGGTCATCGCCATCACCGACTACTATGGCCAGGTGCGCCTCCTCGATGGCTGGCGTTCGACTGATCAGTCGCTGACTTGTGGTGCTGGTGGCGATGTGTGCGTGTGTGCAGGACGATATGGAGCTGACGTTCAAGGAGAACCAGACGTTCGTGGTGGACGCCCTGCTCTCCGAGGACGAGACTTACTGGTGGGGCACCCTCAACGACAAAATCGGCGTGTTCCCCTCAGACACCGTTCAAGTTCTAACTGGTAGCGCTCCCCTTGCGTGCGTGTGCGGCCATGCGTGTGCGTGTGCGTGTGCGTGTGCGTGTTGTGCGTGTGCGTGTGCGTGTGCGCGAGTGACTGATATCAATTTTGTGGCAAACGCAGGCAACCCGGATCTGATTCCGTTCCGGAGCATCGAGGACGAGGAGCAGAGGCGACAGGAGGTGATGAAACAGAAAATTCTCGAGAAGCAGCGCAAGAAGAAGGAACTGGAGAACGAACAGCGCCGCAAGGAGGAGGAGGAGAAGGCGCGCAAGAAGCGCGAGGAAAAGGAACGCGTCATCCCCATGAACATCGAGAAGATGCAGCCCTGCCCCAAGTGCGGCACCGCCGTGCGAATCAAGGTACTCCCACTCCTCGATGACGTGCGTTGCGTGTGCCGCTCACGCTCAGCCTTGCGGTGGTGGACAGATCGGAGTGCTGTTCGGCATGTGCGGCAAGTGCGGTGCGTTGGCGCAGCGCACCTGGACGGCCGAGGACGAAGAGAAGGCGAAGGAGGAGGTCGAGAAGAAGCGCAGGGAGGAGGAGGAGAAGCGGGCCAAGGAGGAGGAGGAGAAGCGTCGCAAGCGTGAGGAGGTTCTGAAGAAGCGCGAGGAGGAGAAGGCCCTGGAGAAGGAGCGGATCCGGAAGGAGCTCGAGGAGAAGAGGAAGAGGGAAGAGGAGGAGAAGATCAAGGCCGAGCAGGACAAGGCGCAAAGAGCGAAGGACGAAGAGACGCGAAAGAAGCGCGAAACCGAAGAACGAAAGCGACTCGAGGCTGAGGAGCAGAAGAAGGCGGAAGAGGAGGCGCGGGCCAAGAAGGAGGAGGAGACCCGCAGGAAGGACGAGGAGATGCAGAAGAAGCGCATCGCCGAGGAGCAGAAACGGTTCGAGGAGGAGCGCAAGAAGCGAGCCGAGGCTGACGCACGCCGCCGGGAAGAGATGGAAGCGCGTCGGCTTCTCGAGGAA